AGACCAGTCAACGAAGTTTCAGAAAATAGCTACGGAAAAGATAAGAGTCAAAACTGGACTTTAGCCTTGCCTTTGGTGCAGCTGCACCAACAAGTGGTTATTAGCTATGAGCAGAAGGTATTACAGGAGTGATAAGGGTTTTAAGTTGTGGAAAGGGTAACCACAGGTGTTAGCTAGAGAGAGTGACAAAAGTGTGTCTTGCATCTCAAATAGAACGATCAGAAGGAAGGATTTCAAACTAGTCATCTGCTGCTGTCTTGTGCTTTAGTAATACTCAGTGTATGTTCCTTTCATCTTTTGTAAGCAATCAGGCAGCGTTGGGAGCAAGAAAACCTCTAACCCAGGACAACACTGCTCCTGCAACACAATGGCATCATGCAGACTTTAAAATCAAGAGCAGAGCAGAAGTTCTGACAAAGCTCTGCTTGGTAATTGATTATTTCCTCCCCTAGGATTTAATTAGAATATTGACATGCTGTCATAATTTATAATGCTAATAACTTGTCTGTCTAAAAGCCAAAGTGATTTAAGTTTTAGCAGATTAGTCAAACTTCCTGATCCTGTGAACTTACTGGAAAAACCCTGGTATGACTGAAAACTACAGGACGAATGCTGAATATCTCAAAGATGATAGCATTGCAGTTTTCAGTATAGCACACAAGTAAAGAGAATGATAGCTGCTTGGGGTCCTTTAGCTCGGTTGTGGGATGGAAGAATAAGAGCATTGCTGAGCCTTTGGGCAATGGGGCACCACCAGGTTTAGCACTGTAGTAACTACTTAGCCTTTATAAGCATCACATTTACATCACTTGTCACAGAGAGTAGCACTTGAACCATGTGCAAACGATGCTGTTTAACAAACAAGTAACCTTTGTCCTTTGTTTTCACTTTCTTTCCACTTTCATTTCTATTTTTCTTTAACAGTTGCAGTTTAAGATGTTTTTTTGTTTGGTTTCTTTTTTTCACCAGAGTGCCCCAATTGCATTGTTAAGATTTCTGTGAAATTAAAGCAGGGAGAGTCATATCCCTGAATGGTCGTTAAGGCAAACAGTTGTTAATGGGTAGCTTCTCACTTCGTGTTTCCACATATGCTTATATATATAAATATATAAATACATAAATATATAAATATATATATATAACAACAAAATTACTTGGCAATCACTGTGAAGTGTCCCTTTCTATACCATACCATTGTGAGGACTCTTTCATGCATAGCTAAGGTACCCCAAGTTTACTCAAGTTTAATCCTCTTTGAGGATGTGAACCTCGATGGCAATTAGCGATTAAATTACAGTGAACCAAGGCTACTTTGCTCTTGAATGAGTGCACCTGCAGGAGAGATTAATGTGCCTTTACACTGACATCACTTCTGTAGTTTCTTTATCTTAACTTTTCTAAGTATATCAATGTTAGACATGGCCTACATGGAAGACCCTCGTTGGTTTTGTGTGAGTAATATATCCAAATCAAAGGAAAGGGAATTAGGGAATTTCAGTGTTAATTTGTGTTCTGCTGAGAAACAGGTGGGGACTTGGACTTTGAAAATACTTGAATGCATTTGAAAATACGGTTTGGCCCTAGAAACACTTCAGGCATATCACTGGAATTCTGGCACTGTATATCTTATCATTTCTCTCTTTAGGACCCTTATGGTTTTCATGGCCATAGCAACAATTATAATCTCTTTTCTCACTCCCTTTGGCAGATTTTGCCACCTCCTGATAAAGGCCTTCTGTGTCCTTTATGTTCCAAAAACCTGAGCAGAACGTAACAGGGGGAAAAAAGTTTATAGCATCAGATGGGTGATTTGACTCCACAGTCAAAACCCCACATCACAGATGAAGATGCTGCCCTAATTTGTTTTAGACATTGTGCAATAAAAGAGTAAGTGTTGGCACTGCCCTTGTAGTCGTATTAGCAAGGCAAGAGGTAACAGATGGACGGAGACAGGTGAAGAAGTGGAAGAGATAATATTGGTCAGATCACGAGCTGAAATAAAATAAACCGGCTAATGAGTTTCAGTGCCATTTTTAGAATACCAGAGCTCCATGTGTGTGAGAGGGGGTCATCCTCCTCCGGACTGCCACCCCTGAGTGGCAACAGACTACGGCAGCAGCAGGCTCACAGTCCCAGTTTCACTTTGGGTCAACAAAGCCCCTACCCATCCACTGCCTGTTTCCTACTATCCCTGCTGAAAAATCATGTTTCATCATTTGTATTTCAGCCTACTTTCAAAAGAAATGCAGCAGCTGCTATGGTTGTAACATTACATGGTGGTAGAAATGAGAATTTCTCTAAAAAAAAGGCGAGGCTTGTACTCACATCATTGCCCCTATCTGTGCCATGTCCAGACATGGGAGTTATACTTCTCACATTTTTAGAATATTGTATTAAAGGAGTTACAAATTTTGTTAAAAAGCCGTTAAAATTTTGTAAAAAACTCATGTCAAAGAAGTGTAACAACAATCATATTGTTTAACCTATTCCATTAGCTTTAAAATATACACATACAGTTAACTGTGGTATGAAATGGTTCACTACAAACATGTCTCAACACACAATAATTGCATATTTTACTTAAATTTGCAATTACATGTTCAGTTATATATTGTGGGTACTTTTATGGGCTTTTTTTTTGTATAATTACCAGTGTTTTGAATCAAATACTGAGGGCTAAGCATTTTTGAAATTTTTAAAGAATTAGTAAGGATCCTGTACTAGTATTAAGATAGTCATATGTAAAATAACTTTCCTTTTAACTGAATAATTATGCATGAATGTATTTCCCGTGCTCTGTGCTTAGCTAATTGAGATGCTTCGATATTTGTGTACATGTTAGCAGTGTAATGGTTGTTCTGTTAGCTGTTAAGGCATTGTTAGATAGTCTCCGCAAACACTGGACATTTCTGGTTTGTATGTAATGTCTATGTTATTCATTATTAAAGACCTTGGTAAACAGTTAACATTGTTATTACCTTAAAGGCCTAACCCCCCACCCCAAATGCTAATTTTTTTCAAGTAGACATTGTTGGTGCTGCAGGAGCTATTACTGTTACTGTAAATGTGATTAGACAGGGGAAAAAAAAAAAAAAAAAGTGGAATAACATATTTAAAATTGAAATAGCAAAATAAAAGCAATCAAAATGTAAAATGTAAGATGTGAAATGACAGAGAGGCTAGCAGAAGCTGTTATTATAAAATTTCATCTACACTCCCCCTCCATAGTAACAGTATCGAATTAAAACCTCAAAACTACATGACATGTTGGATTGCAACAATTTTAGTTGTTTTTTCCTCTGTGTCTTTTTCGACTGTATGAATTCTGATGTGAATTTAGGTCATAAAGCAAATGGATCATAAAAGCAAACTGTATGAAAGACCTTGATGCACATTTAAGTACATTGAAAATCTTCAAGGAATTTAGGAGGATGATTTGATGTAAACTAATGAATTTCCAGAAAGACCAGCCTGTGGCTGTCAAACAAGTATTTCAGTCCAGAATTAAGAGACTACGTATATCTTCATGGACAAATATGCAAAGCACTTTGCTGGTGCTATTGCACTCTTAATGTCTATTATGTTACCCATCACCTGGCTGGTTCACATTCATGATAGGGAAGACACAAATCAATAAAATTAATTAACTGAATGCTGAATGTTTTGTTTTAAGAAGATTTTTTGTTGTGTTTAAACATCATAGGAATGGAATAGCTTTTTTTTCCCCTGAACTCGGGCCATCTTCAGCAATGTTCTCATAAAGCATGCTCAAAGGAGAAGAGAGTGGAGATTAACATGACAACATAGTGGCTTTGTTTGTAGATTAAAGCCATTGAATTTTGGATGAATTGACTTTGTGCTGGGATAAATTACCTAACCTTCTCTGGTGGACAAGGGATTTTAGCAACTGAGTTAAATGAAATTATAGAAACAGGGACTGAGTCAGGCATTGTATTTGCTCTTTTTTGTAGCTTATTGGGAGAGTTTAGACTTATTTATGGTGAATGGGAAACAATAGACTCGTTAGTCCTGCTTTTCTAGGATCTGCTATTTCATCTCTAGAGTGAAGGTTTGCTGAGGGTAAGAGGAATCTGTAATGCTTAATGTAACTTACAGTTTGCAAGCTAAGTTTTGAACTATGTCAAGTATACCTAGGCCATGAAGGATGGAGCTGTTGGCATTTGCATAAAGATTTGTTTGACATTTATAGACTGGGTGTTGGAGATAAATGCACTAGGTTCCTGCAGTGGGGTCTGGGCCTCTGCAAAAAGATGAAGGAATCTGAATAATTAAAGGATCATAGCTTCATACTCGATTGTGTTTCAGGATCTACACAAGAACTTTTATTCTCTTTATCACAGTAGTGTCTGAGCTGCTTTCAACTATCTCCATTTATCATCACAGATGGGTAGGGATTGTTAAGGCAGATTAAACTGTTGGACATTAAAATCTTGTTAACACTGATGGAAGCTGGACACTTACCTGAGCCACGAAGCATGGTACAGAGAAGCCTGGCCTGACACTGTGGATGCTAGCTCCTCACAGTGAGCAGTAAGACCACATCACAGAGCTACCATACTCAAGTTTCTTTCAGCACTTAGTAAACCACATGCAAGGTTTATTAATTTGGCTGTGGTACTCTACCAGTGAAAAATCTGTCTTTGAAACTAGTCAAGCTGAGAAAAATCTCAGGTGTAAAGGGGAGAAGCAATTGTTCTCTGTGCTCTTGGAGTGCTCATGGGGCAACCTCATGAATGAGGTATATAGGATAGATATACGGGCATTGAAAGTGTCCCAGGGTTCTCTACAACAGTTGACAGCACCAGACTGATTCCTATTTGAATCTTTGCCATTTTTGTTCCAACTAGCACTTTATTGTTAGTGTTTCAGGACTTGTTTGAGTTTGTGCTTTGAGTCACATTCATGCTATAAAAGAGGATAATAAGGATGTGAAGATGACTTCTGTACTGATATTTCTGTGTCTTTTTTCCTCTTTACAGCATTTTGTTTGCAGACATTGTGGGGTTCACTAGTTTGGCATCACAGTGTACTGCACAAGAGCTGGTGAAGCTGCTGAATGAGCTCTTTGGCAAATTTGATGAATTGGCAACAGTAAGTACAACATTCTTATTTCAATTTAATTTAAATTCCCTTCTGAAAAATGTTGCATGAGTTACACATATTGGAAATCTGTAATAGACTGATTTAGCCCTGTGTGTCATGAATTTCTAAAGCTTCCATTTTTTATTAATATTCTGAAGATAAAACAGTCTATTTAGGAAAGAAGTTTAAGTTGCTATTTTTAAATATATTTTTCTTCCCCCTCCTTGGAAGCCATCGGTGTTCTTCATTGGTTTTGTTTGCACAATATAGAGACACTATTTCAATATTTACATTTCTATCCTGCATGGAAAAAAAAACCAAAAACCACAGGATAATGGAAAATACAAATACTGGCAGTACAGCATAAAACTACTTTCTGTGATAATAAGAAGCTTGAGAGTAGAATTAGTTCTTCACAGAGAGCACTCCTTGTCACAGAAATGATGGTAGCTTTCAGACAGGCTATCATAGGCAAAATGGAATCCACTAATGCTTATATTTTGGTCATGCACTTATATTGTACCAGATTCCCCAAGGAAAAGAAAGTGAAATAAATGTTCCTTGCCTATAACTCCTAGCAATCTAATGGTATCACAAGCATTTGACAAGAAATGAGGCAAATGGATGTGCCTGAAAAAGTCACACATCTTGTTTCAAATTACATTTAACAATATGCTGAAAATGTGTTTTCCCCTTGAACAAAGCAAAATTTGATCAACTGTATCTTGTTTGCCAGCCATGTCGTCAGAGCCTTAATTGCTGAGAATTATCAGCTCCACGTAAATTATGCTCCTCCACTACATAGCTACCTTGTCTTCAGACTGTGCAGCAACCTAGAGAACATATTTCTTCGGGTGCCCAACATAAATAGCATTCACATTTTTACAGGCCAAACTCACTTCTCCTTGATGTAGTTTTCCACATGAGAGATCCGAAGCCTGTGAACACTTTGCATCTATATCTCCCTCTTGATAAACAGCTCTCAAGACCCCAAGGAGAAAGAAATCTTCTGCTCCACAAGATGCCAGGGTTGAGGAAGACCTATTCTTAGTTAAATGGGTTATTGTTTGATCAAATGCTATGCCCTGATTTGCACTAGATGTTCAAGTCATAACAGAGAGGAACTGTTGTGTGTTTCCTTCTTCCAATAAAACCAGAAGATTAACTTAGATGCTGAGTAGAGATTCACTGAAGGTGTGTTATTTTTGATATGAATTCATAACACACTCATAAGGCTTTGTGTATCCAATTCATTACTGGAACTACTGGCAGTGCCACATAGAGAATACTGGTCCCCAACCCAGAGTACTTCATAAACATGTATATCTTAGAAATAAAAGGGACTGTCATGTAGCTGATCATTGGGAAGAGCTTAAATGGCTTAAAAAGTTCAAAGAGTTTCCTTGTTTTAATTTCATTACTGAATTTCATGCTCCAAATGTCAACCATCCATCTAATAAGCTCTTTAAAACTTAAAATGCTATCATTTGTGGAGTCATCATAGCTGTGAAACACAAGGCAATGTAATAACATGGGAGTACTGTGACATAGCACGAGATCACACATATGCACTCAGAAATGCACATGCCTGTGACATCTGACATGACGCTGAAGCCAGGGGCATGGCTAATGTACCATGCACACTCCCTTTGCAGTGGGCAGGTGCAGCCAACTGGAGATATCAGTGACACCTGAAGCCAGGATACCAGGCAGATGCCAGCTTTTGGTATGAGATCAGTTGTTTTTCATGGAAGAAGGCTTTTCTGTTCAGCCTTCATGCATTCTTTTTCCAAATTTGAAAATAAGTCTTAGGGTTTCTTTCAGCTGCCTAAGGAAGATTTGTAATTTGCTTGTCCTTCTAGTTCAGACTGCTGCATCAAGGTGTGGTTAAGAACAGAATGTATGAGCTTTCCTTGGTGCCTTCTGATGTGGCAAAGGGAGACTGTGTCTCCTGCAGTCAGAAGAAATGTGCTGAGAAGTATAATTTTTCAAAAGGATTATGATCTCTTGATTAAAACAACTTCTGAATATTCATTATTAGGTCAAAACAGAGGACTGGGCTGATTTTAAAGCAAGGCTGTGCTTTAGTATTCAGGATGATGGAGGAAACTGAAGGGACTTTACATTTTGAAGAAAAATGTAATGGTGATAGGCATGCTCCCTGTGACTCCTAAAGTGTGATCTGTGAGTGTGCACACTGTATGCTGCTGCTTCTTAGGAAGCAACGTCAATTGGAAGATGCAGTTCATGACAACCTTGTTAAAACAATTGTCCTGTTTTAAAACTGGAATGCTTAAAAAAAAAATCCCTGTCACCACTGTGGAAACTGCAGTAAATGTAAGGTAGCATATATTTCCTGCGAGTGTCATGAAGAGTCTTGGCACATTGACACATTGTAGAAATAGTAAGTCTTTGCTTTTTGACAGTGTATCTCTGAAGCTGACCAGAACCAGGTGCTTCAGACAAACATAAAAAATTCTTGTTGAGAGATCTGGTGCAATTTAATCCTAAAGTTTGTCCTTCTGACGTACAGAAACTAGTTTATGCATTTTACCATTAGATTTTTCTCTCTAAGCTGTTCGTTTGATTTTTTTTTGGTAAGGAAAATAATTTTAGACTTTATTAAATACTATGCCTTTTTTTTAAAATCACAATAGCTTCAAATATAGTTACAGCTTGTGACAGGGAGTTCTGAAGGCAAATCTTGGGTTTCAATTTATTGTCATTCAACTTTGAAAGTTTGCTTGTGCATTCTGTTAATAGAGGGAAGAAAATTCCTGATCTTCTTACTCCCTACTAGAAATTATTTGTACTTGTATCAAGTCCTTTATTTTTAGTCACCTCTAGAGAAAATAAGTTTTTCAAACATTTATCTTGCACAGGTTATTTTACCTTATAAATCACTCTTTTAAAACTCTGTAAGGAGAAGAGGTTATCAGGATACAGTACTTAAAATGATGTTTTCTGCTTTCATAGTAGCATGGTTTGGTTTCTTAAAGAAACAATCTTGAGTTTTATTTTACATAAGACTTTTGGATCTGTGGGCCAACTTCAATCACTTTGAAGAAAGGAAAGTGAATCTCAAAACTACAAAGCTAAATAAAATTAGTGACAATATTAGTATCCTTGCAGGAGTGTAACTTCATCCTAGAGAGACATAAGAGAATCCACATGAAGAGGTGATGTTATGAATGCCTCAGAGTTCATTTGTATGTCTGGTTACTGAAGTACTTGCAATGTCACAGTCTTTAGGCACTCTGAATTTTTTTAAGCATTTCGGATAAGTTTGCCCATGCAGAGGCTCCTCTGGGACTGTACTCAACAATAGCAAGCAATCTTCCTTAACACAGGCAGTTAAGTTTCATATAAGGCCTATGAATAGTTCAAATAGAAATGGTTTTGCATTAATTTCTATTGGATTTTATATGCTGTTCAGGCTTAGTTTACTTAGTTCAGCCTGTTACTTCTGAAGTTTCTCAGTTTCTTCCAGTTTTCGTTAAGTAAGAGTAGCTTTGTGCTGTCTCAGATTTTGCCCTAATGATAGTCATTCTTCATTACATATTATCAATGAATGCTTTAAACAACTGATGTTTGCATGAGGTCTTCAGATGCCTTGCAATTAACCTTTAACACCATAGCTAGCTTCCAGTTTGTCATTGTCGTGGTTTGATCTGAGAGGGCAATTGAGCACCACACAGGCGCTCACTCACCCCTTTCCCCCTCAGGAGTGGGAAGGAGAAAACAAAAGGCTCAGTATTCAAGATAAGGATGACTCGCCCATTGTGGTCAGGTGCAAAGACAGACTCGTTAGTGAAAATAAAAACAAGATCGATTTAATTCAAACACTAAAAACACCACCACCGCACAGACAGAGTAGGACAGTGAGAAGCATTACCACATCTTAAAAACACGTCCCCCCAACCCTCCCTTCTTCCCAGGCTCAGCTTTTCTCCCGATATCTCTACCTCCTCCTCCCCAACAGTGCAGGGGGCAGGGAATGGGGGTTACAGTCAGTCCTGATGCTTCTTTCTCCTCAGGGGAAAGACTCCTCACACTCTTCCCTTGCTCCAGTGTGGAATCCCTCTCACAAACTTTCTCCAACGTGAGTCCTTCCCATGGGTTGCAGTGCTTCCCAGACTGCTCCAGTGTGGGCTCCTCCTGTGTGCTGCAGTCCACCCAGCGCCAAACTACAACAGCAGGGACTTCCCTCAGAGTCCCAGCCTTCTTCGGGCACAGCCACCTGTTCTGGCGTGGGGTCCTTCATGGGCTGCAGGTGGGCATCTGCTCCACTGTGGACCTTTGAGACTTCAGGGGCACAGCCTGCCCTCTCACCATGGGCTGCAGCAGGGTCTCTGCTCTGGCGCACCTCCCCTGCTCCTCCTCCTCCTCCTTTCTTTCACTGACCTCGGTGTTTGCATAGGTGTCCTTCTTGTAACTGTTCATCCCAACTCCCAGGTTCCCCTTCTTAAATACATTATCATAGAAGCATGACCACCATCACTAATTGGCTCAGCCTTGGCCAGAGGTGGATCTGACTTGGAGCCAGGGGAGCTTCAAGAAGCATCTCACAGGGGGACACCTCTGTAGCCCCCTCCTCTCCTACCGATAACCCCACCACACACACAAACCCAACACAGTCATTCTTCAGCTTACTCATAAGAGTGACAAATTTTAATGACAAAGATATAATTATTAGCACTGTGTTGTTTTTATACTCCCAAGGAATTCTTGGACACAAGACACTTAGACTGGGTGCCTTGTTACTTTAAAGACTATGTATTTCGCTGCATTTTCTCTTCATGCTTTACCTGTGGCATGGTTTTACTATGAATGAGCGAGGTTCTTAAGGCTGCAGTTACCCAAGTAGTGTCACACAGAGTTGCACATGCCCCTGATCAGGTACTGTAATGGTCACTTCTCCACTCTGTTGTGATACAGTTCAGCTATACCCAAAATATTGTACCTGTAATAAGTCATCTTAATCAAAAAGAGGAGGAAATTCTTCATGT